AATCAAATATAATATAAAACAATTCGTGCAAATTAATCTGCGGTCCTTATGACCAAACAAATATAATATTTTGCAAATTTGCAGCAACAAACATAAATATACAAATAATATGCGCCCTTCTGGCACATCAGAATAATACAAAATATATAGCCCTTATGGTACAATGGAATATAACAATAAATAATAATATAAATTATGTACGGCCCTTGTGGCACGATAGAATATTATATAATAATAAGTATATATAACCCTTTTGACTTAATAGAATATAATAATAAGTAAAACAAATATAATAAAAATAATAATAATAATATGAAATAAATAACTCACAGGTTTTCGGTGCACTGCTAGCCAGCCGCTACCTAGCTAAATAATTTTACATAAAAATAAAAACACGTGAAATGGTGTTAACACACAATTAATGTAATAAAATTGGCGWTTCGCGCCGCACAAAGGTATAATAATTTAATTTGTATAACAATATAATAAGTAGGCCCTTCTGGCGCTAATGGTTATAATAAAAAACAAAATTTGCACTATTTTGAGAGGRAATAGGTATAATATATAATAATATTTTGGCACACGCCGTGTTAACGCGACTACGTACGATGCGAGACAAAAAAATCGCGGCGGCCGTGTTAAATAATATTCACGTAGCCGGTGTGACAATTCTTTTAAAATAAAATAATTATACTATAAAAATAACTATAACGGTTAGGTTCACTAACACTGGTTCCAAAACTGGGGGGAATTATTTTCCGTCTAAATATCTCATTTTATCAAAATTCAAACTTAAAAAATCTATTGAAAAAAAAATGTTTATAAGTACATAATTTTAAAAGTTTTTGGTTACAGTATGAAATGTCCTAAGAAACCTTGTTGTGATGAGAAACATTGTAATGATGAGTTTGTGGTTGAAGAACTAGTCGAGATTAATTTGATACCAAAAAAGTGATTGAAAAGATCTTAACACMAAGTTTAGCATGGGTAGGCAAAGTCACTTCTTATTCGGCGTTATTGGGGGCAACTTAAAACACGAAAAATTGTAATCGAATGGGAATTTATTTTACGAGTAGGTACCTACAATTGGAAAAACTGCTTACTGTCTTGTAACACCTGACTTATATAATAATAACAGAAACTGGTTTATATAAAACTAAAAATTTTTCTAAACGTAAAGATATTATATTTATTGATTGCAAAAAATTTGTTGCGATGGCCGGGAATCGAACCCGGATCAACTGCTTGGAAGGCAACTATGCTGACCATTACACCACCATCGCACATGATACATTRGGWGTGATAGGTATTTTATTTATGTAGAGTATCTAATATTAATATCTAACATCATTTTACAATATTCTGGATAGGTTAACCGATTTTTTATAACTCATTAAGACARTATAAATATGAATTGTGTGAAAATGTAAATTAAGTTAATAAATAAAAGTTATTTTTATTATCGGTAACAGTTACATCAGTTATTTTGAAAAACAACAAGTAACTTAACATTGTTTAGAATCAGTTACTTTTTTACAGTTTATTTTTTTATTAGCTAATATAATAGTTGTTAATTTTGTATACAAACATGAATAAAATATTGGATATATCGATTGTATTTTTATTTTATCTATAATAACTTATAATAATGTTCTATTTAATATCAATTAGCTTTAGGCCATATAGGTATGTTATTTTCTGTGAATATAATTTGCATTGTGCAATAACATAAATTATTATTATAAAATTATTGTTTATTAGTTTATTACTTATTATATTTTAAAGTTATTCTTAATTTACTCATTTCAAATATTTTGMATTAATGAATTAATGCAATAAATTTTTTATGCACCCAGGTACTGCCTACCTGTTTTTATTCGATTTTGATTACTAATGGTGTCTAAAAATGTTTGAATCACATCAACAGTACAATTAGCAAGTGGCTATTTAATATAATAATATGATTTATAATTAATAATATTTAATATATATTCCCAGTTGCCAAAATTGAAAAAAATAATGTTCAAAAAAGGTTAAGTTTTAAACTCATAAGGTTTAATATTTATTAAATTAATAAATTTAAAAAAAAAAGTTTAATATCATGAAAAAAATAACTAAACATCATGATAAAATGAATAAGTTACTGCATATAGAAGGAAAAAACATTCAACTTATCAAGTTAAAAGTTATTAACTATTTAACACATTGTCTATCACTCCATGCTATAACAGTCATTATACAGTTTTGCAAAAATAGAAACTTTATTTTAACTTTTTAATTTTTAATGTCTATACTTGTATTTTTACATAGGTTTAATAGATTAAAGGAAACGTATGTATTACTGAACAATGTTGAATTGAATACTGTACACATTGTAGTATTGTACACACTGTATCCAACCAACCAGATATTGTAATTAGTTTTAAATAAGAAATGTCCCAATCATAAGAAATTTTAAATATAAATTGTCTTTTATTATTTAGTTATGGGCCCCAGTAGATATTAAAAATATTAAATATTCCCCGGCATTAATTATTTTAAGGCTCATTATTGATTTGGTGTCTAAATAATTAGTGTAGGAAGTTCTGTTATTTTTGTTCACTTATTTAACATTGATATTATGACAAATCTCTCACATTTCTTATAGATTTATCATCAAGAGTTTTTTTTTATGACTTCCATTAGTATTATAGTCTTAACATAAAATAAATCGATCAATACATGTTATTCAAATTTTTAAATTATATACCTACCTAAATTGACAATTTAAAACATACCTCTGGCCAATATGTTTCTATGACTATTTCTATGCCATAAACACATTTTCAAACCTCATAAAGCCAGTATAATTATTTACTTAAATCATTTGAACTTTGRAATATGGATTTTGTTCACTTTTGAATTTAAAAAAATATATAAATTAATAATATATATAAAAATGTAATTATATTAAAACTATTTGATTTTAAACTGCAATTTTTATTTAATTCAATAATAGTAAGAATATTACAAATGATAATAAATAAAATTAGCATTAAAAAAAATGTAGTAATTATTCATACAAACATGTATAAACAAACACATAATTATAAAATTAAAGTAAACTTCAATCTTAGAATATGTTATTTTTTTTTCTTGTCTTTTGTACATTTTGGACAGATCCATTTTCCTTTTGGCTTGGTAGTTAAATTGACACATGCAAAGTGGAACCATTCAATAACACACTACAAAATAAAAYACACAATTAAAAAGTATAGGTACTATACAAAAACAAAAAAATTAAACTATGTTTACAATACAAATCCAACATTATTAAATTTTTAATAGTACCTAACAATATTAAATAAAATGTTTGTGTAAAATAAAAGGAAACAACGTATAAAAATATTTCACTGTTATAATTAGGGCTGGAGTTATTTTCGGTATATTGAAATACCGGTTAATCTTAATACGGGTATAACGAAATTTAATAAGTATACCGGTTTACCGAAAATCGGTTATTTGTTTATTTCGATTATTCGGTTATTTCGAATATTCGATTGTTTACATTACTAATAAACCGTACGAGGTTTATTTATTTGCAGCATTTATTTGTATATTTACTTTAATTTTGGAAAATAATTTTAATCAAGACGTTTTAACTCGTTATCGTCTTATCGTTAATCGATAATCATTTGAGTGTGACCATATTGTACCCACTACCTACCTCCACATACATCTTACGGGCTACGATTATCTAGTTTGATTGATACACCTTAGTACCGAAATACCGGTATCAATAACTTAATACCACCAGCCCTAGTTATATTTAAACTAAAACACTTACATCTGGATCATCACAGCCTATCATTTCACCGAAAGATACTTGGTTGCATAAACAAAATTTTGGTTCATTGGGATCGATAGGCATGTCTGCATCAGCCAAATTTACAACTCCTGTGTCAGTATGAGAACTACGATTTACTACATTAGCTACGCTATTGATAGGCTTTGGACGATCAGCGACAGTACTGACTGAAAATGGTGCACTTCTCGACTTTATACCCCCTAAAAAATATTATAATACCATTAAATAATTTTAAACAAGACTAAAAACATGATATCCAAATACTTTGTTGTTGTAAATTTCTAGTAGCATTAATGACAGTATCACGTATTTCAGCATTCAATTTCATTTGAGCTTCAAATTTAGCTATTTCCGAGTCTAATATTCTAATATGTTTATCCACCTGAAATTTAAGTACAATGGAGTAGAATAATTATAGTGTAACGATTGCTACATCATAACTTAAATYATATTAACACAATATGTAAAATAGATAGCTATATATTAATATATTAATATTATATATACATTTATATAAATATTATGCTGAATATATATTAAGCCCCTCATGTTTTGACACATATATTATTAGAAGGCTACGACCAAATATGAATATGTAAGAGAATACGTACACCTGAACTCCGAGACAGCCCAACATTTTGCTCGTAAGTAATAATAAACTTTTATGTATGAGCAATTATTTAGACCAGTCTGCATTTATTTGTAATATTAAAATCCTGAATACCCTTCATGCTCCCGACAACGGTTAAAGTATATTCAAAAGAAACTAACTTCTTTCCTAAATATCATATATTTATCTAGTCATCCCCGACCACGTTACAAAAGTATTAGGTACCTATATTAATAAATCAACATAAACATACCAACTCATAAGTTTGAATGGATAGTTGCACCTTGTCGTCACTCAACTCTTTTGCAGCATCAAACTTTTGTTGGATGTTTTCCATATTTTTTTTATTTTCTTCTGCTGAATTCTTTTTGAAATTTAACATATAATTGTCGGCCATTTTATCAATACCAGTCATCAATTCTTTAGATTTTGATCCAAGATCCAGCATCATAGTTAAATTTTGATTTAACTCATTGGGAAGTTCCTTCAAACCTAAGATCCAAATCTGTTAGTATTTTATTGAAATGCTATACGTTTAGTACTTACTGTCTTCCAAGTCTTTTAAGTTTGTTGCTGAAGTCATTATTATTTTATGGTTTGACAGACAATCCTAGTTTAAAAAAATAAWATGCGAAGCACACTCTAAAAYAAACACAATCTGGAAATTGCTGTTTTATCAACAGGTTACTTCAAACTACTACAAAGACAACTATATACTACTTTTTTTTATAGTGTACACTACAGCTCTGTACAAGTAATCTGAAAACAAAATACAGAGAATTGATTGGTTGAATCAAATAGTTAGGTTGCGGTACTACCAGGTAACCGTAGTATTACCATAATATATTTCATATGTCAGATAGGAGAATCTAATCCTAACCATGGCATAATAAATGAAATTTACATTGTTTTTAAATAATTTTTATACAACTTACGTTATAAATACATGAACTAAACAGACACATAAATATAATAAATGAAAATTCTCGTGAGTCATACTATTTTATTTACGTGGAGTGCTGTTACAAGGAAGGTTCACTTTGTAGTTTATTGACCTTATCAAGTCAATGGGCAACCATTACACTACCACAGAATAACCAGACTATAACCAGTATCTGTGATACTACCTTAAATCAAGATGTACGGTTATATTTGCACAGCGTGCAAGATGTTCACTAAAATCGTAATACCTCCTAAAGCCAGCGACTTATTTTAATTGTTTTGGGACATTAAGTCATATGCTTATAAAAAATTAAAATATTTTGGTTTTTGTAAATAAGACCACGAGCCGCATACGACTGTGACGAGAGCCGCATGCGGCTCGCGAGACGTGATTTGGCCACCTCTGCCATATAGAATAATGAGGCCTATACTTTTCAACAGTTTCATATCTTAACCCCCTACCCTCCTCAGAGTAGTTGACAACAAGTTGACCATCACGTCAACAACAGATCAAGTTATATAAATCAAATTAAAAATTAAAATTTATAAAATATGTTGATGTTAATCAATCGACCATAAGCAACGTTTAAATTGATTGGCTCTTCTATGGCTCCACTATACAATTATCCTACTGGATACAAGCCTGATAGTGAACCTTTTCAACTATGTATTACATTTTTACAAACAAAATTCAAATACTCTATTTTTTAATCCTTTCAGATGTTTGTATTAAATAAGTATATTGAAAATAAATTAAACAATTTTTTTATCAATTTCAAAAATAATTTAATTTCTTTCCTATATCAAACGTTTACTATATAATTATCATAAATTATTATTAAATATTATTAATTGATAATTATAATTATTTCAATTATATTATTTGTTTAATATAGACATTTAATATTAGACCAATTTAATATTCCATAAAACAGGGTGAGGTATTAAGGAAATATTTTCTGTAGCTAAGTTCAAAATCCTAAAAATAGAAATTAATATGGTGTGAATAGTTTGATGTTATGCTAAACATTTCAAATTACGCAAGTAGTTAAAAATATTCACCGAGGAGATACATGATATACTATTTATATACATACATTAATAATAATTTTAATTAATTAATAACGTTATCTTCCAGTCAGTGGGGTATTTAGGAGGTACCTGGTTTAACCCCCACTCCAGAGAGAAAAAATAGTTACTCTATGTTAAATCAATATTTTATTACTGGTGTTTTGATTATTAGACTGACTTTGTAGTCATAATATACAAGGATATAATTTTTTTTTAATTTTATAGAAGTTGGGCCTTACCATATAATATCTTGCAATATTTAAAGAAAATCTAGTTGCTATGATAAAATCAATATTAAATATTCATACAAACTTTTAGAACCATGATATGAACATTATTTTTAATATATCTGTGCAAACTGAATTAACTATAATAATTATATTTAGTCATGGATCATTAAAACATTGACAAAAAAAAAAATGTGTAAATACATTAAATATAACAATATAACAGGAGATAAGTAACATTGGTCAAATGTACAGGGCCTTTGAGAAACTAAAGCATAATAAGAGAGTTCCTTGAGTAGCTCTAAGAATCAGTTATTCTTATTAGGTACCTATCTAAGTCTAAGCAACTTCATGCCAATAAATCCTGGTTTGTGACTTTGAGAAAAAAATGTAATTAGAATATTTTTTTTACCATTACAATTTAGTTATCTCTAGAATTAAAATATTTTATTTAATCATTAGAGCTACATTTTTTTTTCTTTTTAATACAATATCGACAGTTAAATAGTTAAATTATAATAAGATTACCTACATATAAAATAAATTTTTGTGATACCACTGTTTATTGTTTAATAAAATATCCAGAAACTGTTTTGTTCCTTGATATTATGATACTTACAAATCCCAGATTAAAGATATAAATCTGATAGAATAATTTGTAAAGCAAGTTTACCGCCCCCAAGGTAAAAACTTAAATTTTGAATTGTATTTGTTTTAATTTAGTAGATACCTAATTAATTTATAAATTATAAATGTTTTATATTTTAAAAATAAGTTATTAGTTATCACTGTTCAAATTATTCAATTATCTAATATAATATAATATAATATAACAATTGCCTAATAAACCGAAACCAAGCAATGTTTATACACATTTTTTTTTATTTACAACACCAAAATAATTATTATAGTTACACAAGTACCAGTGTATAATAATTATAATTATATAATATTAAGTAGATTAAACAGATCACTAACTTTGGAAATCTCAGAGATAATATTTAGAGATATTAGAAAAGTTAAAAGAATAGTTAAAACTAAGTTAAAAAATAAATCAAGTGCTAAATCCAATCTGTGACTTGTGGTTACCTATCTAGATTSAATTATTTCATAAAGCTAGGTACATTGACACTGTTTGTCTGTAACTGAGATGCACCTATACAACATATTATATACTATGCAGGATATTCTGAAAAATAAAAACTGCATTTGGGCGAAGCTGAGTAACTCAAAGGTATGTTCCTGTCTGTAGTATTGCATCCTTTTTTCTGAAATCAATGATGGCAAAGCTTTCAACAAAATGCACCAGTAGTTCTGACAGTGTTGTCAATCATACGAAAAAAAAAAGGTTATTAATCGGTTTCATAGGTAGGTATAGTAATTTATATAGGAGGTAACCTTTTGTAAAATTTTTTAATTTTAATTTTTTTTGACCAATTTTTATTAGCTTTTAAATTGATAATGATTGTAATTTTGTAAAAATCCAGATTATTCAATTACAAACAAAAATTCTTTAGGATACAAATATTTGATGTAAATTAATTAGAAACATTTTTTTTTTTAAATATAGGATATAATTAAGTACCAAAAATGAATCTTGTTAAATACCTACCTATATTATCACTCTACCACGAGGTGGAGTGTCTTAAAACCAATTATTATGAAAGCATTTATATGTATGTGTATTTTTTTTATGATACCTATTATATACTGTAAAGTATAATAATATAGCGATAATAATAATTTGTCTCTTTACAACATTTAGGTGGCTCTCTATCCTCTAATTATAATTTTTACAGAAATATAATGTTAATTTAATTATTTTAATATATAATATTATTAAAAACACATAAATTATATTAAGACAACAAATTTAATAATAATTATGTATATAAAACTAATATTAAATGTTTTATGTTAAAGAAATAATATATACCTACCTATTAATCTTCATTATCATTATTTTTTCCTTTACAATTTCATGGCTCTCCTAATAAATTCTTGTGACACCTCTTGAAACTACAACACATAGTCTGATAACAGTTGAAATAAGCAGGAGAAAGAGGTTGGCTATCCTTAGGAACACTCTTGTAATGAAGCTGAGTAAGAAGTTATTTCAGTAAAACAAAAATTATTTTTAAAAKAATTTAGTATTAAACTCATTAGTCATTATATTTATAGTTTTGTGTTAGGTATTGAATATACCCACATTGTTTACTTTATAAATTGACTTAGAAGATAAATTTGATTATTTTCCACAGTTAGAAATAAATTTGGATCTTTATTGGTATTATTATGCTATTGTTTGGAGAACAAGGTATTATGGTGTCAATGCAACGAGGAAAAATTATTGGGTGTGTGGTGGGATACATTATTTCAAATGTTGCAGGGTTCCAAATATAAATTAGCTAATTAACCAATACCAAATCACTTGGAGACTCAATTACACCATAAAGTATAATCATTTTTTTAGTTTTTATTATAGGTTTCAAAAAAAAAAACCGTTTTGGCAACAGTACTTACTCTTAAATAATTAATTAAAAATATTCTTGATAAAATATTAAAAACTCATAAAAATGAAAATATTCCATTGACTTAGACAACTTGTACACGTTTTTTAACTWATGAAGTTAATTTAATGTAGTTTAATAATAATATATGTTTTAAAAAATACTTATATAAATATACAGCTATCTATAACACACACACATATATATATATTTAATAATAAGGAGGCAGCACAAAACAACTACCAATTACATTTGCATTTAAATCTGAATTGTAAATACTTGAATAACTAAGTATTCATCTCCATATTCTGGTATTCGTATAAATAGGAACAGCTTCAAAGAAAAACTAATTTTCAAACAAAGTAATAATAGGTATGTGCTTTAAATGTCTGCTTTATAAATCAAACAAATAAACAATYGTATTTATCTGAAATTACAAAATGAGTAACAAAATTATAAAATGTAAGGTTAGATTACTACTTACTAATTAGAAAGAAGACATTATGAATTCTTATTTTATAGTATAGTATAGTTTAGAATTAGTTTTATTTTTACATATGGTACCTAAATACAGATAGACTATAATATACAACTACAACAGTGAAAATACAATATTAGTACCCACTAATGAGTTAAAAGTATAACAAATAAGAATATGAGATTACCAAACGTTTTTAGTGGTAGTGGAAATAAAACACATTTGTACGTAGTTCATGGTATCGACATAAAATAAGACATACTTACCTAAATACTTACCGTGGATGATGTATGCTATAATGAAACGATATAGACTCAATAAGAGGTACAGGTAGTCTAACAATATTAGCAAAACCAGAATCAAAACAACGAGTTCGGTTGAAAACTTATTAATTAAAATTTATCAGGGAGCCGTCGGCATTCAGTAGTCAGCACGCGCTGGGCATGGAAAATGCTAGAAAAGGTATACTAAATACTAARGTAGTAAAATACTTTTTGGCGCATAATCACAGTATCACACTATCACGGAATATGCCGACTTTTCATAGGTAATTAAAAATCTAAAATCTATAATAATGCTTAAACTCAAGGATAATATTATGATCAAATGTATTTCAAGACTAAATTGTCGTTCTATGGAATAKAAGAATTTCCAAGAATATATATAAATGACTCYTAGAATATATACATATACATATATATATTTAATACTTTCAAATTCTATATATAAATATTTAATAATAACAATATAATTATATCCAAGAATGAGTGTTATCTCGTGACTCTCTGGTCGCAAATAGGCAATTTGATACTAAAATAATACAGTACCTATACTACCGACTGATATTCCAATGGTTCACGTCGATTCGCGAGGTTGGTTGTTCTATCAGAAATATATCATTTTGCGTTCTAAACTTTAAGTCTATGTGCAAATCATTCGAAGCTAAGTAAAAATCCGGTAAGTAGAAAGTTTAAGTCAGTGTACATCATTCTATCATACTTTATCCGAGATTAGCGTTCTGAAATTATGCTTCTTAATATTATGTAATATTATTATATTATAATTATRCATAGTTGTATACTATTAAAAATTATTTCGATCTGACATTTATAAAATGTATTTATTTGGAACAATGCTTGATTTAAGTTTATGTAATTAGTTCTACTCATTGACAACATATTTTAATATACTTCCACCCAAGCATGAGCATCAACGATAGGTTTTAAATACCTACCTTATTTGAAATAGCTAGTATGCCATCACAATCATTACAATACTTCCTATTTAGAAGAAATATTAAACAAAAAGTATTTACTTCATTAGCTCTCCGTGGTCTCCGTATCTAATTTGATATTTAATTAATTTCTTGATTGAATAAAATTCCAACTGCAACAATACTTAAATACTATATAAAAACTAAATTATCATTACTACTAAAGAGAATTAGCCACCTTCAAGCCAAAGGATATGTTGAGATCCTTGAATCTATTGATACAGTTTCTTATACTTTATGCAGGAAAAACTGAAGTTACATTTAAAGAATAAAATTATGAACTGTATATATGTTACTATAATACTGTGAATATCCGCAATTGGTGAATGCTGACAGTCACCAGATAAATGTTAACATACACCTAATAAATTAGTGAATGTTGAAAAATTTGAAATAATACAGAGATTTACTAGTGGATGTTGACATTTATTTTATGTTAGGATTTTGGTAAATGTTGACATAGGTAGGTAGTAGGTACGTATTCGCACATATAATATCATAGTATTATAGTAGGTTCTATAGTTGGATATATCATATAATATTATAAAATAGAAATAACATATTATTTTTAATTAAATCAAATAATAATAATTATATTATTACTTATAACAGCATGACAATGTGTACTATATAAAATGGCAACATTTCTACAGCTGCGATTTTTTGTAGATATAATTGTTTATTCAGATAAAATAAGAGTAGTTGGGTCAGGTAAAAAAACATGTGATCAAAATTATCAATTTTCTACAATACCTTATACTGCAGCATAGGTACTAGATAGTATAAGATACTATTTTTTAATTGAGACCCTTTCCGTTATTCCTAAATAAGATTAAATAATATTGGCATTACCAACATTCACCAATATTGTTGTATAAATGTCGACATTCACTAGTGAACGTTTACTAAAATCAAAAATTTAATCAATAAGCAAACATTCACTAATAATTTTGGTGTACGACAACATTAACTGATGACTGTCAGCATTCACCAACCGTGGACATTCACAGTAACATATACATTTTCTATTTATTATTTATTCATTATAAATACATTATATATTATGATAAATTAAATTAATGTAATTGTAAACTATTCAATAAAAACTTTAACACCAAATACAGTAAAACTTATCCTATGATTTATTTTATTACTTTACAATTTATTTACAATGGTTGGTATGAACAATAAGTTGTTTAAAACTATTGGAATTTTAAAAGTCTTGGGGATTAACTTTAAAATTATGAATTAATAATATTGCCCCGTTTRTCCAAAAATAATTGTTTTTAATTTACAAATATCTGTTTTAAAATATATTTAAATCTTGTTTCATGAGTATAACTATGAGTAAATAGTGAAGTAATAGTATTTTCATTTTTAAATAATAGTGTACAGACGAATAATAAATGAAGGGAAGTAACATTAAATATTTTTTTATTCTTTATTTAATAAATAATAAGTAAAATGAAACCATGACTTATCRAATAAATACTTAATTAATGAACTTATTATGATCTTCTATTTAAGTGTTYTATAAGCAGTACCTAGAGATCAATACCATACAAAACTATTGAATTAAATATTAAACCTTCATATATAAAAATGATCACAACAATAAAAAAAAAAATGTCATTTTTGGTTTTAATATGTACTTTTATCCAAATTTGAACTAAACATGTCTCTATCATAGAACTGTGTTTTTATAATATGTTAAGATTATTTTTGTTACAGTGTAGACTATTAATAAGAATCCTTGATTTAAATTTTAAATTCTTAGCTTTAAACATTGAACATTTTATATTGTATTCATCATAAAACAACAAAAGAATTATACAATTTTCGAAATTTTGATTAATTTTGACAAAATTTGAACTTTGAATAGTTGAAAAGAAATTYGTTACTATGGATTATTAATATTTCTCAACAGCTATTATAACTTCTTATGAGTTACAATCAGTTCAAAAAGTTATCATTTACAAAAAAAATTCAAATTTCAAATATTTATTATTATCTCAGAATATTTTGAAAATGTTATCATGAATTAGAAATGATAAAATAAACATTTGATGAACATTATATATATTTATAAGTTAGCTTATTGGTTTTTGAATATCATCAAAATAAGAAAATAGTTMTTTGTTTCGTTCGATTAGAATTTTAAATTAATCCAAAGAGAATTATTATCCAGCCAGAAATTAACATTGCTTTTGCCAAAATTAATTTTTTTCTCAATACCATTTAAAAGTTCCTACTTAATATAATAGCAGTGTAATCTACAAAACATAATATTTCTCCTTCAAAATTTTGGTTAAAAAGTCCATATAAGTAAATAATAAAAAGTAAAGGTCCCAGTACTGTACCCTGAGACATATTTTACAGGTCACTTATTTTTATTGATTTTAACCATTTGAAGCCTATTCGTAAATTATGACTTGAAAAAGCTTAGTTCAACTCCATAGTATTCTAGTTTTGAGACATTATGGTTAACAGAGTTGAACGCCTTGTTTATATCTMACAAAACRTCAACTACTATTTTGTTAGTATATAATTTTTGGGCATAGTGAAGTATGTCAGTAATAATTGAATCTGGTTTTTACTAAAAACGTTAATTTTAGCCAAAGTGTCTGTCAATCTTCATTTTATACATTTTCCAAGCAGTTTAGTCAATATTAATGTTATTGGTCTATAGCTTGTAAAATTTTTAATGTTTTGATGGTAGTATARCAACTGACTTTTGTAACTCAATGGAAATTCTCCTGTAGATTAACATTTGTTAACTATAATAAATAACAGTATACACCTCTAGAACAAGACTACCACAACTCAAAATCTATGTTTTAAGAAAAAGCGATTTGAAATTTGAATTAAGATAAAAGTTCTTAACCTGTGTGTTTGAAACTAAAAATTTCAATCATGGCTAACATACTTTACAATTTGACTTTTAAAATATAAAGTACTCTCTTCACGCAAAAATTTATACTTTTGGCTTTTTACAACAATTAATTAAATAGAAGACTACCATATTTTGAAGTGTACAAAGAAATTTATTTTTAGAGAGATATGGCAGTATTGAATTTAAATTGTGGCTGTAGCCTACAATATCACAAGTTACAAAATGCAATGCTGCCACATMTCTAAATATTGCTGTTTTKCATTCAACATATTGAACAATATTTAGTGCAAGAACGCCACAAATCAAAATAAGGCAGTCTTGAACTTTGACTTTAATAMTTAATTGAATAAATAAAAATAAACATACTGTCGTACAGTAAATGAATTTGCTTTCTTTGAAAATTAGCTAAAAATTAAATAATTTAATACTGATATTATGAAATGTAGTGTTCCTGCATTTTATATAGGTATTAGTACATTTTTTTAACAACAAGTTAGTCAACAATCCTTTATAAAAGAAAGAAGGTTTTTTAAATTTACTTATTAAATATAACTTATTTAACGAACTTCAACTGATTTAAAATAAATAGTGTTAATTAAATAACAATGATTGTTGAGTTGATTTCATTCTCTTCATTTAAAATCGTTTATATTTTARCTCCCATATAAGTAAAAAAAATATTAAAAATTTATTTCAACTTTATATTTCTCTGAAGTCATCAGTGGTGTATTTAAACCTGAATTTGGGGGAGGGGGATATATTTGAGTATCTTATAGTTTCCAATTTATTTATCATGTCATAACAGACTATGTTTACTAATTGTACTCATTGTCAAAAGATTTAAATTAATAAAAACACAAACTCTTTATTATTATTACTTGATGTTGTATAATATAATATTAATATTAAATATTTTGTACTGATCAACCAMTTCTAGAGAGGAAAAAGGGTTGAGATACGCTACTGTCAAAAAGTAGAGGCCTCATAATCAATTTTATGACTCAAAATACCTACATCAGACCCTGAAGGCCAATCACAGTTCTGTATTTTTTATTTTCAGAAATCACAGTGTACATATTAGTATACAACTATACAAGAAATTAGTTGTCTATGTAGCAGTGTGAAGTAACCTGTTGATAAAACAGAAAATTTCAGATTGTGTTTATTTAAGATTGTGTTTTATTTAATTTTTGTTTCTCTAGAATTTTTTCCAAACCCTAAAGTAATAATGGCTTCAGCATCTGATTTTATGGACAGTAAGTACTCTATAGGTATACATTTCAACGAAATACTAACAAATTAACATTTTAGGTTTGAAGGAACTTCCCAATGAATTGCATCGAAATTTCTCTCTGATGCTAGATCTTGACTCAAGATCTCAAAAACTTATGACCAACATTGACAAAATGACCGGCAGTTATATGTTAAATGTTAAAAAGCATTCGGTAGAAGAAAAGAAAAAAACTATGGCAAGGATCCAACAAAAATTTGATGCTGCAAAAGAGTTGAGTGACGACAAAGTGCAACTATCCATTCAAACTTATGAGTTGGTATGTTGACATTGATTTGTTAATGTAACATTATAATTATTGTTCTACTTTATTGTATCTGTTTCAGGTGGATCAACGTATCAGAAGATTAGATTCAGAAATAGCCCGATTCAAATCAAAAATTCAGTTGAAAGCTGGGATACGCGAATCTGCCTTTAATGCTAAAAAAAAGTTACAACTGAAAAAAGGTTTGTTGATAGCATGATTTTAGTCTTGTTTAAGGTTATTTTAATGTAATACAATATTTTTTAGGTACACAATTGACAAGTGCAACATCTTTAGTCGGTGCTGTCTCTGATCTAACAAGTCCTGCCTATAGTGTAGCCAATGTTCCAGTAGAGACTAGTTCCTTTACTGGCTCAGTAGTTGACGCAGGAGTTATACATGCGGCTGATGCAGATATGCCTATCGATCCCAACGAACCAACATTTTGTTTATGCAATCAAGTATCTTTCGGCGAAATGATAGGTTGTGATGACCCAGATGTAAGCATTTTAATTTTAATTTWATTATTAYATATCTATACAAATTGTTTCCTTTTATTTTACATAAACGTCTAATTTAATATTGTAACCATTAAAAGTTTAATAATCGTCAATTTGTATTGCAAACATTGTTTCATTGTTATGTTTTTAGTAAGTGTACTTTTTTTCTGTGATCATTTCGTTTTAGTGTGCTATTGAATGGTTTCATTTTGGGTGTGTCAATTTAATTACCAAGCCCAAAGGAAAATGGTTTTGTCCAAAATGTACAAAAGATAAGAAGAAAAATAAAAAAATCTTAAAATGAATTCAATTTATATTGGTTATATTCATAGGCACATATATGTGTTTTATGTATGTATATTTATAAATATATTAAGTATATATATTATTTGATATTGTGTTGATTTTTAATATGAACAATTTATTGATTGTTATTTTATACATAGAGATGATAAGACATTGTATATAATATAGCCACTTGTCACAGTCTATGCAGATATTAAAAGATATCCATTCAGTGTCTATTTGTATTTTTCTCAAATTTTTCAACTAAATCTAATTCATGATACWGCATGCCATTTACAAATTTTACATATATTTAGAAAAATTAAATCAATATATTTCAAGCAAGTTTWTCATTTTTATGAGAATTAAACATTTATATATGTAACTGAATATAAAATAAATATCTTTCAATGGAATGTATTAATTAGTATAGTATATACATTTTGAGTCCCTAGTATGTTGTTACATTTAATTTAACAAATGAAGTACAAACATGTCCCTATTGTTGGTCATCCAAAAATTGTTGCTAACTTCCAAATATCCAAAGTAATAACAAAACATATACTTTAAAGTATCACTAATTGCTAACAAGATCCAGAACTGCATATCATCTAACAAAAAATATGGAAAATATTATGTTATTTTAGAGCAAGACTATTTGGTAAGCAGTAAATAAACAAAATAATTAATTAACTTAAACTTAAACATATAAAAATAACCGTGCCTTCGATAATTCAGCGCTGCTGAAAGCATGATCATAACATATTGATGTACTTATATGGTAAGAACGTATGATGAATATGATTTTGATGATAATTAAAACACAATAATATATAAAATATCTTAGTATCATAGTATTACCACAGAATATATGAAATATATATATATATATATATATTAAATATATATATTCTGTGGTATTACAATTGGTATTTGATTATAAGTTCTACATCTGACATCATAAACTATGAATGAAGCCACAGCTTATTATACTTATACAAAATATTAAATAATAAAGCCGATATCAACGACGAGTCCCCGTCTTCCCGAATTAGGTGTTTGATATGCGCATGTGCAATGAAATTGATCGCTTATTTATCCACATGTTATATATTGTAATATTTTGGCTTTGAGTGTGGCATATGGATCATTTTGCAACGAAATAGATCGCGCATGCTCATGTCGCACATCTAATTCAAAGAATCATCGCAAATATTGGCATCAAAATAATACGCTGTAGCTCCATCCATAGAATGTGATCTAAGTTATAAACCACAGACTATCTTAGTCCGTGTTAAACGGTAAGCTCACAAAATTACTAGTGTTATCAGTAATTATCAATGTGATGGATTTAAAAAACACTATTTATCACATACAGCATAGTTTTGCTCTGAATTAAAAAATGTCAATTTAAAGATACTGAGTAAGCGATATAGCAGCGCTGAATTATCGAAGGCATGGTAACATTTATTGAGAGGTATTTAAGTGTGGACTATCAAACAGTGGCGCCGACATGGCCCGACATATTTTGAAAATTTAAGATAGGGCCGCTTCATATTGATCATTTTCTTCGACACGGCATGTCATTTTTTCCCATATTAAGATGTTGGGCCTCTTGAAATATTTTTCGCCCTACTATATTTTTAGGACTTCGACGCCACTGCTATCAAATCTACTAACTGTTATCCATGGCCGGATTGGCAAATTTTTTCGGCCTGGGAAATATATAGATCAAACCGGCCCATACAGCTATGCATCACAAATGTAACTCCTCCCCTCCTCTCCATGATATATTATACATATACATTTTT